GCAAAATGCTTGTCTGTGTATAAACTATACGGAGTTTTTTCGATGTTTCATGAAACCACTCTTTAGAGCGGCCGTTGCTTTGCATGAGCTTGAGTCGATCTTCTATCTGTTCTTTTGAACATTTGCTGCTAATCATATCGTCTTTATCGGGAAATTTGAGACTTTGTTGTAGAACAGTATGAATTAGGGTTTTAAACTCATCCTTACTGTAACTACGTTTGATTATGGCCTCATTCGATTGGTCGAAAACTACACATAATACGCGACCCAACGCTTTAATGGCTATCTGAAAATTTGAGAAAAGTAAAACATAATAGTCTATGCTGTATTAGTAAAAACTAATTCTCTGTAATTAAAGCTATTTGTATGGAATAATACTCATAACTTATGGACTTACTGATTTTAGTGTTTCACCTAATTTATCATCAGCAAGGCAAGTCTTTAATAAGACCGTAACAATTTTAGGCAGAAATATAAAAGTTGTGTCCGCAACTTGATTTCGTAGCACTACATCAGTGAACTCTGCTTCATCATGAACATAGAAAACTGTCATTAGGCACTCAAGAGAAGCGGTTCTAAATATTCAGATCGAAAAATTTACAGTTGAATACTAAGTACACTCTTTTCCATTACTTACACTAATTTACGATATTTTTCTTTTTCAATAAATTCGACCAAAGATAGCAATATTTGGCCTAAAAGCACTGCAGATTGTTGTGTATAAAATGATTCGAGCACGTCGCTACTGGACCGACGCAATACCTCTGCAGTGCACTGAGCTGAAGCTAGTTTTAATTCCTCACTCAAATTGGTTCGAGTTGCAATTGCACCCGGTTCACGGACTTGCTTTAGCACAATTACTAGTAACGTGCGCAGCTCTTGAACATCTTCCAAATATAATTTAGATACAACAATGCGAACGCAATCTAAAATGCCTGCCATTAAATCCTGGCTTACTCTATAAGAATCCAGTTATTATTGCATATTTTCGTTGATAAAGAATAACATACCCGTTAAGCTCTTCTAACTTAAGTACCAATGGCGCGAGTATCTGTCCATGGAATACTTTCATTTGTCGGAAATTAAATTGCGTGAGTTCACTCCTCAAGCGCTCCAAGTGGTCTCTGTTCGGCGCACGTAGAAACATATCAAGTGCTGGTTTTACTTTGAGAACAAATTGCTCAAACGAAGCCATTTTAACTTTACATTTAATTTCAATTTTCACGCGAAATTTTTCATATGGATAAAACTCAACCCAGGAAAATGCAAACACGCCGGCTCCTTGCGATGTAAACAATCCAATTTCATACAAAAAATTAAATCAGCTGTTTTCAAGGTCGATGAAACAGCTGGCAATTGTTAAAATTTATCGATTACTTTAACTTCGTTTATTAAACTTATTAGGTTTGTTCCACACGAGGCCGCGGATACCCGCGGTAATAGAGAGCGAATACGTTCCACTTCTGGCTTGTTAATGTCTTCTTCTGTATTCACGAAACAGCCCGGACGGGCGCAAATGTGCAAAGTGCAATTTGAAATAAGAGCCGTTGTTTAAATCCGAAACAAAATTTATAACTTATACCATGTTCTGACCGACAACGAAAACACTTTGAAAACGTGTTTTGGGAGTGTGTGCTGAAGGCTGTTCACATCGGCTGTTAGACTGCGTTTATACACGAAAACTTTTGTCGCCGCGATTTTTCACATTCCCTTTTGGTGTTGCTCGTTTCATTTACACACGGCGATTTGTGTGTATGCAATTGTTGTTGTCAGCTGTGAACAACGGTTCAATCTACACAGACGAACGAGAGCACAAAGCGTGTTGCCCGAGCACGAGCAACTCGGTGCCCCTCTCCTTTCCTCGTCGCGCTCTCTCCTACAAGCGTCGAGTTGCGGCAACAAAAATCGCCGTGTGTAAATGAGCACTTAGTGTTTTCGATGACATTTCTTACATCCTCTCATTACAGTTTTGCTACACAAAAACAAAACCAAAATGCTTTTCCCTCATTTTCTTTTCATTATCAACCTCTTACTTTCATTCTTATTTTACTTTTGCCAGCCAATTAACAATAAATCCGAAATGGCGTATTAAATATGATAAAATATGACTTCCACTTCGATAAATAATCGAAAAAAACTAGTGATACACCGATTGGAATGAGTGGAACGTGAGTTTTCAAGTAGTTTTCGGCGAAAGCTGGTTTTCGTTTGACAGATTTTACATGGACGAAAACACAAGTTTTAAGTCGAAAACCAGTTTTAGCAACGAAAACATGTTTTCGATGTCGGTCAGAACATGGTATTAGGGTTTACACCGGACAATATTGTCAAAATGATGTGTTTGTTGTAATATGAATTCGCCGTATTTACAACAAACACATCATTTGACATGTCTTGACAATATTGTCCGGTGTAAACCCTAAGTAAAACATAAAGTGGAAAATACCACAGAATTTTCAGGAAATGTAGTTAATTAGTAATTTTATTAGCCATATAAGATACATACACTGTAAGTTCGTGCGCAAGGGCAACCCTATACTTTACTCTACAATTGGAGAGTTAATAATGTTAGTGCAGCGAGCAGAAGCAAGTCGAAATACCGTCAAGAAACAAGGAAAACAACGAGAAGACCGAGAGCTCAGCCAATTAGCTGAAAATATAATTTAATTGTATGATATGTAGTTTAAATAAATAATTTAATTTCATTTTTTCATTGTACCTAAATAATCATCGTGTCACGTCAAAGCTGACATAATAAACGCATTTCTCTTTTTAAAGTCGAGTTCATTTTTCACGTAAAATCATTGGCGCGTATTCATAGTCCACCCACTAAGTCGAAACTAATAAAGTTGCAACTTAAATTTAAGTACCAACTTAAAATTCACTTCTATTCATAGTCGCATTTCAGACTTCTACTAAGTAGTTTTAACTTAGTTTTACGATATTGCAAAACGAGTGTGAAAATGTATAATTTTTCTTTACGATATTTTGGAAAAATTACATTTTTATTAAATAATGTCTATGTATATATATAAAATCTGACTGATTCTGACTAGACCGGTCTCGAACAGGATCGCAACTTATTTAGAGGTTTTCGATTACCGTCTGCATTACCTTTTCCCACTGGGCACTTTCAACTTAACTCCGCAAAAACAATGAAACTGCCATCCTGATAAATTTTGTCTACTTTTCTATCGACTTTATATCGCATCTAGAAAAAATCTGTGCCCGCGCGACTAAACAGAGGTTTTGGGAATATCCTTGCATAAAACTAAATCCTGGATGAAATTTAGTTTCGCTGCCCCAGATCATTTAAATTTCTTTTTACGAACCGGCGACTTCAAGCAGCAGCTAACAAGGGTAATGTCAATTGTAAAAGCTTTCAACCAGTCAGTAAGCACTACGGCAGACTCAAAACATACAAATCGAGTTTGTTTGCTGCAACCCATGGAATCCGATTACAAGGCAATAGATTTAAGCTCTGGTAACAACGTGATAGGACGCACACGCGAAACTGGAATTAGAGATGTCCGTTGCTCCAAACGTCAGCTGGAGTTGGACGTTGACATAGAAAAGCCATGCGCAAAAATGCGAGTGATTGGTATAAATCCTTGTAGCGTTAATGGCTTGATGGTTATGCGAAATACAGAATGCAAACTGGAACATGGTGATATAATCGAACTCGTTTACGGCAAACATCAATTCGAGTTACAATTCAAACCGCCACCTTTAGCGGAATCAAAAACGAACCAGAAAAATGTGCAGAGGCTAGAAAGTACAGCAGATGAAATATCTTCGGTAAGTAAGAACTGTGTAAGCGGTTCTGGGCATTGGGAATCAATAGAAAATGGAGCCATGATGGTTTATACAGACGCAGGGGTCAAAGCAGCAAACAAAATTGCTGGCTATGATATTGACGGAACCATTATTACGACGAAATCGGGCAACGTTTTTCCAAAACATGCTGATGATTGGCAGATAATTTACCCTGAAGTGCGAAAAAAACTAAAATTATTGCATCAGAGTGGCTATAAAATTTGCTTTTTCACTAACCAAGGAGGTATTGCTAGCGGTAAAATAAAGTTGGATGACTTTAAACGCAAAATAAAAGAAGTACTTCAAAAATTAGACGTCCCGGTCCAGGTATTTATCGCTGTCGAAGAAGGCCTTTATAGAAAGCCCTTAACTGGAATGTGGCAGTACTTGGTGGAGCATCAAAATGAAAACGTAGAAATAGATTTGGCGAAAAGCTTTTATGTAGGTGACGCTGCCGGACGACCAGAAAGCGGTAGTGGCAAAAACAAACGTAAAAAAGACCATTCCTTGACAGATCGTCGATTCGCTGCTAACATAGGAGTTTCATTTTACACACCTGAGGAGCATTTTCTAGCTAAACCGACGGAGCAGTGGATTAAACCTGAATATGAACCGGCAGAGGTTGTAAATAATACACACATTCCACTATTAGAGCCAGAAAATGTAGAACTACCTAGTGACGAAACCGAAATGATCATCATGGTGGGATTGCCGGGCTCAGGTCAGTTTCAAAAAATTGTATTTGATCAAAAACTGTTTTCTTTTTTCTAAAAAACTATTTTTTTCCGTTTTAGGTAAAAGCTTTTTTTTGTCGCGAATATTTGGAGAAACATAATTACACTATAGCAAACGCAGACAAAGCTGGAAGTACTCAAACGTGCATTAAAATTTGTGAAAAGGCATTGGCTGATGGTAAATCGTGTGTTGTTGACAATACAAATGTCGACGTCGAATCGCGCAAGAAGTTTATAAAGCTTGCCCAGCAGTACAAAGTGCCGTGTCGATGCTTCGTTATGAATGTGCCCGTAGACCAAGTGAGACATAACATAAAATACAGACAATTGACAGATAAAAGTCATTCAAAGATAAATGAGATGGTCTTTAATATGATGAAGAAAAAGTATACAGATCCATCTAAAGACGAAGGTTTCTCACATACAGTCAAAGTGAATTTAAAGCCAAAATTTAAAAGTGCAGTTGAAGAGCAATTATATAAGTTATATTTGTTAGAAAAGTAAGTTCGATTTGAGAAAAATGCCTAGTAATACTAAGTATGAATGTTCCTTTATCAAAGTAAGAGTATTAATCCAAGGTAAATATGCGCTTTGCGATATCGTCAATTAGCCAATCCATAGCGCCTAGCAATTTTTCACCAGTTACGGCACTCACACCCACAACCAGCCAATGATGTGTAGTTATATCGTCTAGCTCGAGAATCTGAAACGAAGAAAAATATTGGACAGATGTATAAATGTATTCACATTCGTTGCGACATTTATATAAATATTGGGAGTGTCTACTTACACGCGACACGGTCACAATTACCGCATATTCACGGCAAAAATTAAAGATTATCCACGGTAAAAATCACCGTAAATCCATTGTAAAAATTACAGTAGATCCATTATCGTAAATTTTTACCGGGGATATACGGTAATTTTTACCTTGCATGTACGGTATTTTTTACCGTGGATATACGGTAATTTTACCGTGGCGCATGTGTGTAGACACTGCCATAAATATTACATCTTTGATATCATTTGCGCTGAGGGCACCAGGTAAGTCCTGTTTGTTCGCTAGTACTAGCAGTGTAGCGCCGGCAAGCCTTTCCTCTTGTAACAACACTCTAAGTTCTTGTTTACATGACTCAAGACGCATACGATCTGCACTGTCAACTACCCACACTAGCCCGTCAGTTGATTCAAAGTAGTTGCGCCAATAAGAACGTAGCGACTTCTGACCGCCTACATCCCACAGATTCAGCATATATCCATTGTGCTCTAGTGTTTTTATATTGAAACCCAATGTTGGCGAAATTGTGTCTATGGACTCGCCGTTAAATCTCTTTAATATTGTTGTTTTACCGGCATTATCTAGTCCGCTAAATAAAAATTGGTTAAGAAAAATCATAGATGACTCACTAAAGCGTATCACATTTTACATACAGCAGTAAAATTCGCATCTCCTTTTCTTTTTGACGCATTTTCTTTAAGACTGAAAGAAATCCCATGTTTGTTTTATTCCTTTTTAGTCTTCAGATAATTCACTTAAAATCAATTTTAATTCCCATATGCGCTAGGTGCGTTTTGTTTATTTCGCCAATGATAATTATTTTGTGATAGTGATGGAAAAATATCGATTAAAGGTTAACTAACATACCATAATGCCATAGCCATAGCCATAGGCTGCGTTTCTTTATACATTCCGGATAATCCCGTTTCACAGCCGGAATAAACAGAATGCTTTTGAAATATACGTTAACATATCATCAGGAACATGCTAAAAAATAAGTAAACGAAAAAGTTTATTCCAAACGTTCAGAATGAATATAGAAATTCAGCCATAACTAGGGCTGTTCGATATTTAAGAAAGTATCAATATAAATCGATTTAATTCGTTGCAGGTAAAATCGATATGGCGATATATCGGGCTGAACAATATCGATATCGGAAAAATCGATGTTGAAAATCCTACTCCCAATTGAATAGAATATTAGTCCCCTTTCAGACACGTCAAGTCTTGCTTTCAAGTCTGCTCGTTCGTAGGCGAAGGAGGTGAGAAGAGAGGGGAAGAGTACAGATACCTCCGTACCGTCAATTCGTTTCAAGTTTTTTTTGTCTCTTTTAATCTTTTTGTTGCTTCCCATTTAAAGAATCAAGAACTTGAATTTAATTAAAGTTGACGCGTGTGGAAGCAAATAGAAAACACACAAGAGACTGCGAAAAAAATTGCCTTCAAGACTTGACGTGTCTGAAAGAGGACTTAGACCTGCCTATCAACTCACCTAATTGTGTTATTTCCATCTTGTATATTTACTGAGGATTAAAACAGCATGCCGGCTGACTCAAGCGGGGTTTCAAACTTAAGAGCTAAATAAATCACACAAGTTGCTGATTAAATCAACTTCAGTATTTTCCTATACACTTTTTTGTAGATGAAAAACAAATTTCAACTTAAATATCGATTTTGAGGGTAAAGTATCGATGTTTACGATATATCGACCTTGGAATATCGATTCAAAAAACCGATTATCGTGCCACGAAATATCGATATTCAGAATAATCGATACGATATCGAACATTCTTCGACACGATATGTATTTGCATCTGTAAATGTGATTCTTTCGTTATTCGCATGGTAATTCGGTCTGAATTACCTACAAAATTTTTTATGACCAATTATGTAATTCGAAGCGTAATTGGATTGCGAATGACGAATGGTAGGGCGAGTTTACGTGCATTATAACCATTTGAATTCATTTCCCATACAATAGATAATTAAGTGAAAGTTCACTCCGTTCTGTTAATTCCATTATAACCCAAGCATAAGTCAAATCATCGATGTTTTGAAAAACATCGCAGATGTTTCTTTACTAATTTTTCATTACCGAAAAAAAGAACGCATTCCAGTTTTGGTTTAGTTCTGCACGAGAACAAAATTTAATGTCAAGAATATTCCTATAAAAGAACCAAACGGGAACAAAAGTGTTGAGAGCAGTTTAAACGGGAACAAAATGAGGACAAATGATTTGGGAAAGTTTTCGTAAAGAAGTCAATACAAAGAAAACTCTCGGGTACGTTCTCAAGAAGAACAGAATGAGAAGGAAACCTTTGGGAACGTTTAAGAACGAAAATATCGAGAACGTTTTCAAGGAAGATAAATTAAGAACAAAAGTCGGGAACGTTCTGCTAGAGAACAAAACGAGAGCAAAACTTTTGAGAACTTGACGTTAATAATAAGACGAGCGTCTGCATGTTATGATGAAAAGTCGCTACAGTGAGAAGTACAATTGTTAATTGTGAGCCAGAGGAAAGCCGGATATTTCAACTTCCAGATTGTTTATTTTTATGCGCAACTGTCCACTTACGGAACAATTTTTAATTTTCTGTACACGAAAAGTTCGTGTCTAAAGTCTTTCGTTTACTTTATTGGTATAAATATCTTTCAGTTCTTTTTTGATCAGTTTTACTATTCAAACATTTCAAACTAATGGGTCGCTACGGAAAACATTTTGCTCTCGCTTTCATTCTTAGCGGCTTCTTTACCAGTCAGAAAGTTACTCAGACTTTAGTTCCTAAAAAGACGAATGGTAAATTGCTTCCAGATATGTTGAATAAGGAAAATGTAGAGACGCTAGCGATTTTATTTACTTGTGGCGATGAAGATAGTTGATAGGGGTTCCAGACCTTGGAAATAGTATGGGGATTACTCAGGCAAAACCTTTATTATCATCAGTTGAGGAGTAAGCAGCAGCTGTGTATTTATATACCGTGGCAGTAAATACTGGTCGCCATAAGGCAATCTGCATTATGCTAGAGAAATTATTAGAGAAAACTCTTCTTTATTTATCATGTCGTCATGTCCATATTTTCGAAGTTTTTTAAAGAGAGTTTTCAATTGCAAAATGTACCTCAACCAGATATTTTTCTAAAATTCCAGAAAGGGTATTCTAACATAGACTGTTATAAATAGAAGATGCAATCTTTTTTTAAATAAAATAAGTATTTCAGAAAATATTTCAAATTTTCTTTTTGAAAAACTAAAAATTCCCCAACCCAGAGATGATTATAAAGAATATGCTGACAAGATATAATACTTCTACTCCCAAATAACTGTATTTTAGCCAAAACTAGCCAACATTTTCCAGGCATATGTAAAGTTAAGATTGAAGAAAAATCTAATAATTTATTCTGTAGGGCCTGGGATCGACTTTCCGACTAACATAAAAAACCAAAGAAAATAAAAAGAAAGCATGCAATGGCAAACCTCCGAGTGTGTTTCTGCCATTGAAAACCCGCTTCTCATAACAAATACAATCGCCGCTCAGGAGTCAGCGTAAAAAAAACTATTGATGCTGCACACGCGACGAAAGAAAAACAAAAACAGTCCTAATAACTAGCAGTTTTCCGGTTAAAGAAGATGGTGATGAAGAAGAAATTTTCGCTGTTTTATGGAAAAAATAAATTTTGAAAGATTTTTAGTTGTGACTGTCTTTGCATGTGAAAGCAACAACAAAGTCAGCTAGGAAGGATAGACGGTAGCGAGTTTGGTTGCAACTGTTGGCGAATCGATGATGGCTACAAAATTTTTTGTTAAGCGATCGAAATTCAATAATTGACCGCCATTTCCTTCATCGGCATTTCCTTCCGCTTTCGATAATCGTACTTCGAATTTCTTACAACAGTGTACCCATCCAAAAGTGAACAAGCACTTAAGGGTAAAAAATTACCCTAATGACGGCAGGCAGCAGCAGCCGGCGACTGGCCATTCATGAATGTATGACGCGCGCGCCTCAGTCGAATACGGACCGGTGTGCAAGAGCGACGTGTTTGAAAATGTGTCGGAGTGGTTTTAAAAGCGAGTGCGTTTATTACACAAATAGTTAGCTTGCCAACTAGTAAATTTACAATTGAAACATGTGTCTAAAAGGTGAAAGATGTGGTAAAATCTTAAAATAAGAGCAAATGCTTACGAGGTAAAAACTAATTTTTTAAAAGCAATATGTATTTATATACCAATGCGTGTCAAAGGGAAAAGTCGGTGAACAAGTGCAAGTGAAAATTCAAGCAAATATTAAATTTTCGTTACAAATAATGTGTCTTTGGTGAGAAACTTTAAAATGCCATTTCTTATGTGTGCAGTTAAGTAAATCTACATTATATGGACGTTAAATTTAAATTCCTCTTGGTGGGAATTATGGGCCATAAAATATGATGGAGCTCCGTGCTATGAACAGGCGATTTAAACTACAGATTTCAGTGACGAACTATGTTAGGCCGATGGTAGAAGAAAACCTGTAAAACCGCCTTGCCAGTCGCATATATATGTACGTATGAACATATGTATGTATGTATGTATGTATGTGCTTTTGTACATGCCTAGCGACTCAGTCCAGTCGGCATAAGCTAAATAAGCAAGCCACCGAGACAATCAAAGAATCTTAATAGGAGAAGCATCGCCGCGATATTGATGCAACTAACAATGAGAATTATGTGTACGTTAAATAGCGCTTTGTCGGCGAAAAATTGTTTGGAGTTAAGTCACTTCATGGCAATAGAAGAAGAAGAGCGTGTACGGGGCTGAAATTATCAGAGATAAAAAATGGATTTATATATAGTAAAAGTGCAGTCATACCGTAATATTATGCTGAATGTAAAATTGTTCGAGTGTTGAACGTTACAATTTTCCTAAATTGGGTAAAATATCTTTCAGTTCCGCAGCATCAGTTAAAATAAAAGACGAAAACAACATCAAATTTGTACTAATAATGCTTTATATAAAACAGTAACAACAATTCTGATTCCGGTGCAATAATAAGATACACAAAGAAAAGAAACTCCGCGGGCAAGTTGCCTATGGCCAAACGCAAGCTGTTTCGTTAACCCAGCGGGAAGACGAACGGCCGATTGAGCTGAACAACAAAGGCGCGCGTTGCCTGTGTCTGTGCTGAGGATTTATTATAGGAGTCTGTTCTGGAAGTTGTTTTTCCAGTTTTTGCGATTTAAATCACGTTGAGCATTAAAGTAGTATGAATGTGCCGGTGAGAAGATGAAGAAAATTTTTATATTCATAGCATATACATAGTACTTATCCATGTACATATGTATGTACATATATACACGCGTAAAAAAATACAATGCTCTTCTGGAGTAGCAAAGTTGAAGTAATATTGAGTGGGAGCAGCTTTTACAGTCTAATTGATAATGCAAAAATGTTTAAACAAAATTTTAACGGGAAAATAGAACGCAATCAATAGTAAATATTCAAGAGATATGTAAGTTTAATCAACAAAGTATGTAGTTAAATATAAATGGCATGAGCAATTAAATATGTAGGTATGTATATGTACGTGTGTTATCTAAATGTCTGTGAAGCGATTAGAATGAAGCAAGAATAAAGAAAATAAAGGTTGAGAAATTGTGAAAGTGTCTGTGCCAACAAAACCTCAGAGTGCCTCAGAGCGTAATCGAGTAGATAAAGAAAATCTACTCTCATCAATTCACACTGCCACATTCCTAAGCCAAATAGGAGAAAATTGCAATTTTGCATTGCGTAAAGTGTTTCAAATTGCATTGCAAGCATTAAAAAAAATACAAAAACCAAACAGCCGGCCTGCGATTCACTCATTTTGCCCGCGAATCACAAATACTTTCGTTTATAATCTCCACATTAAAATTTACCTACTCTTCCAATTCGAATACGCTGTGCGCCGAAGATGCCGTTCGTACAGCGCGTCGTTCAACCGACGCGGCTGGCGCTAGCTTCCACCTCCTGCGCTGATGAGCGCGCGCGAGCCACCAAATTCCACTGCACACCAGGCAAATGTAAAAACAACAACTGCATCAATAAACAAACTACACAAATACAACAAACACAACAATCGAATGGAGAACACGTGAGAGAGGAAGCTTGCATTGAGAGCGCTGGCGGTGATGGTGGTGGTGTAAATTCAAGGACAACAACCAGTGCCAAGGACACTGCACAGCAGCAGCAGCAGCAGCAGCAGCAGCAATCGAGGAGTCTTGTAGCAACACCTACCGCTAGTGTTAACCAAACGCCCACTACCACTATTACCAGAGCGATAATACATGTGTCACAACAAAACGGCGAAACAACGAACACGCTCGACTTCACTACAAAAACAACCGCCACGTCAGCACCAACTACGCCAATGCGTGACATTGTCGATTGCTCTAATCATCTTCATCATCATCATCATAATCAAGCAAATGGCTATACATGCAGTTTCAGTTATGCCACCGATACGGAAGAAGAAATCTCTGTGGCAACAACATCTACTCCAACAGCTGGACCGGTGCTTTCTTTGAAAAAGCTTAAGCATCATGTGGAGTTTTTGTCCACTGTTCCTTCACCGACACGCAGCGTCAGTGCTGGCGAAATGCACGGACCACAACAACAACAACAACATCAACAACGCCAATTGCAATTGCAGCGCCAACGTCAACAACAGCAGCGTACGCAATCGCCAACAGCCGCAAAAATTGTCTCCGGTCATGAATTTGAATCAATTAGTAATCTAACGCTGAGCAACGCTTTACGTCAATTGGCATCGCTGGTGCTATTAGCAAGCGATATATTCGATGAGCTGCAGAGCGAGCTGCTTTCGGTGGGCGAGCGGGCACGCAATGTACAAAGAAAAGTTTTAGCTGTGGAGCAGCGCGTCTCCGCCTACAATCCGAAGATGGTCACAGTTCGTAAGTGTCTAAACTATGCCATTTTTAATCACTTATTTATTTAATTGTTTTGTACTTAAAAAACACAATTTTAGCGCACGATTGGCTTTCTATTAGGGCTGGAAGTGCTTTTTTGAATAGCCGAATATCTGAATATAGATATGATTAAAAAAAAATCTTATCTCCGGATATTAACCTGATATTCGGATGAGAAAAATTAAAGCATATTAACCGGATAACCGGTTCAATAAATAGAACGGATATTAACGAACGAATATTCGAATACACGAATAGTCCCAGCCCTACTCGCTATACATATTATGTATTTACTTGTACCTATTTATTTAATGTAAATATTAGTAGTATAGTCTAGTTAGGAAAAAGTAGCTTTTTACTGTGAGGCTAACTACAAGGATCGAAAACATGATTTTGCTTATTTTAAGGGGTTGTGGAACCGTCGTCATCTTGAAAATAAGGTTAATCAACATATGTCCCCAATACACTGAAACACTCAATTTGGGACCACAACCAAAATTACACATCATCAACAGTTTTTTAAAGTAAGCTAAAATTTTATATTTTTTTTGTCTAAATAACAATTTTTACTTACATACAAACAGGCTCCTGTCTCTAGCAATTCATCAGCGCCCTCAATTTCCCTATGTCAGTGTACCTAGACAAGAGGGACGACCATTGAGCGCAGCTTCGTTTTGCATGCTTAACCAGCTCAGATTCGGTAAACGCAAGATGCTATTGCTGATAACGCCGCCAGGCTTTCGGAATGTATTGCTGTTAAAAAGCAAGTTAAAACTTCCGTTTGAGGCTGCACCGAGTTCCTCAGAGTAGACCGCAATCGAATTTGGACTAATCTCTGTATCAGCCACGCAGTCTCTTGGCCGTTCTTGCTCACTTCAGTTGAAGTTAACATTGGCTTTCATTCAGTCTGCCGTTCTTCCCAATTGCATTTTGGTAGTGGTTAACCCATGTCCGAAATGTCTAGTTTTCCAAAGACCTCTGAGGCTGACCACTGATTTCATAGCGCTTCTGCGTTCAGGATGATCGCGCGTCCGTCACTTCGGCGCCCACTGTCCCATTTTGAATGATTCTTAGAGTCTGATTATGTCAACTTAACGTAATTTAGAACTTACTTACTAAGTTACGTTAAGTTGCCATAATCAGACCTTAAGCACCGACTTATAGGGTAAGTTCATTGCCGTCAGTCGGAATTCCGGTTTGTATTTATACGCCAGACAATGAAGCCAGGGTGCCCTATGTTGGAATTGGTTTTATGAAAGCGGTATACATCTAAATCACAAGTTTAGGTTTTCGTCTCATTTTTTACTGAAGATTATCTTTCAAGTGTACTTAGTATGTTACCTTGTACATGGATTGGCGCTGGACATATATATACGGTGGTTTTTATTGTGGTATTTTTTACCTGTTTGTCTTGCCTGTGTTTACAGTTAGACCACTTCTCGTGGCCCAAGCATGTCACTTTGACAGGGTTCTTGTGTCCTCCTTGCTAACGTTTAAAAGGAACGATAACATCATCCGCGTATACCATAACTTTGACGATCCCCCTGTTGGGTCCCATGCCGTTTAGTGCTACTGAACATGAGCAGGAGTTTAGGACATACAACCCAGACGGCTCATCTTCACCACCATGAGACAAGGAAACTCCATCTCTCAGGCCTACGTTCACGTCATTGAATTATGTCTGCGTCAGTATGTAGAAATTAAGGCAACCAATAAATACATCTACATACACTCAGACAGAAGATCGCCGCTTCGCGCTCTTAAAGCGCACGAGGTCACCCCAAAGCCGGAGTGAGACTGTCTCTAGATTTTATCGCTTATCGCCTCCAGGAACCGGATATACCTCATATGGGTACCGGGACATAGTGCAGTCATGGGCAATGAAGTGGCAGATATTCTCGCCAGAAAAAAGGGCTGCACAGTACCCTTACCGGTCTGCCCAGGAGCTTAGTTAGACTACTGTATCTGGATGCAGAACGAAGCGCAACATTACTGGACAAATACGGAAGGTAACAGAGAGATCAAGTCCTTCATTCCGGATATATTAGCAGCGAGAATCGAAGAACTCCATTGTCATTGTGCCATTGTGAAACTCTCACCAGGACCAGACTTCGCTTCCTAGGATTACCGTACCTAGAAGCACACGACCTAAATGGTATTGAGCCAAAGACCTTGCGAGGCAATACGTGGATCAAAGATAACCTTAGTTAAATAGAGGTTTGTTACAGTAGATCGTACATATCTACATGCATATCTTCGTTTAAAGTACAACACCGTGTATCAACAAAATGCAAAACCGCGTAGGTTGCATAAATAATTTCCTAGAGAGTAAAAATACTCATATTTCGAAATGGTTCTCTTTTTTTACCTTCCTTTTATTAGCTTGGTATGTAACTATGTAATATTGATGCGCCTAATAGATGCTGCGATTTCTATTCTCAAGATACATACCTGATGACAGTACGAATGGCAATTATAATAGGGAGGTTTTAGTTCTTTAAACTATAATTTTATTTATAAAGCAATCGCATTTCTGGCAAGTATATTTCAGGACGAATGGATAAGGATTGGGCCAAGAGCTTGTTTGAGCAGATCCAATTTTTGGCAGCAAATGTCAGTTACGCGGTTTTGCAAAATGACGATACGCGTTTTTGTACTTTAAACGACGATATATACATTACGAAGGTTTAAATTTTCGCAAATTTTGACTCCGGAAAAGCTCACAATTTACTTATAAATAAATACTTACCATGTGAATATGTATTATAAATAAATATTTGTGTTTTAATTCTTGAATGTCTTTGGGCTTATTAATTAGGTCGTAGTATATACATATGTATATATGTACATATGTATGCATGCATAACGAAATTCTTCTTTTTCTTGCTTACTTCTTAAACAATAATTAACGAGAGTTATCGCTAACAAGTGCAAATGATAAAATCTTATCTCTTCCTAACAAAGCAATTTTACGAGCAACTTTTACACTTGTACTTGCGCGTATGTATGTATGTGCCCATAGAGTGACTCAAACAAGTGTTCACATGTTGGCGTTTTTGAACCGAATTCTCAGATAGGGTGTTTTTCAACCAAATTCTGGAATAGGTGTTGTGCAGAAGTTTTCTGAGATAGAGCGATCTTCTAATTAGGTGTCAATATGAAAAAGCCGTAAAAGTCGTCGGCAAACAAATTTTAAAAACAACGCGTTTTTTTTTTTAATTCTGAAAAAAAGCTTAGAAGTTTTGATGAAAATTAAGATTTCTAATTCTAATAAAATTACAAACAAATTTTAACTTGAAAAACATTGTGAATATTAAACATAAATTAGTATGTGTATCTACATCCGTATGTACATATGTAAATGTATATGTAGCATGTGCATATGTATGTTCGCATGTATATAATATAAACCCACATCTTATGTACTAAAGTCAGCGGTGAACTAACTAAATAAAACACAACCGGCCATTTTCAAATCTTATCGCTTTAAAGAGCACTCATCGACCCCTACTCCCGCCTCACAAAAATATCCGTACACTGATATTATGCAAGTATATTCAATTAAGTTTTTCCGTAACTAAATATGTATGTATGTAACACAAAAGTGCTCATAGTACCCACCACCTTCCTCAATAAGCACTCTCATGCTTCTTTGTTACCTCATTGAAGTGCGAATAACTTAATAACCAATGAAACCAGGCCAACAGTCAGCGACGGCAAACGGGTGTGATGTTGTGCTCGAGTTGTGTTGCAATTTTTGTTATTGTTCGCGCAAAGAGGCGAAAATTACAAATTAACACCTCCGCTAAATGGTTGCCTACAAAAAAAGTAGTACACACATAACTAAAAAGCGAAACACAAATAATATCGTGGAAAAATGGAAGAGAAAGAAAGAGCATAAAAAGTGCAAAAATTGCAAAAAAAAAAGAAATAGTAATAGTGGGCTGTGTGGAATTCGCACCAGTTGAATGCTGTAGCAAACGCAGCCGTATAAAAATCAGAGCTACCCATTTCACTTTAATTATTAAATTTAATTTGCGTCCATTTGTTGCTCATTATTTCACCAGTAAATGCCGAAGTCGACGCTGGAAGTTGTTGATAGTAACGGCACTGGTGTTAACTTTGGAAAAAATACTAAACACAGACGTTCATACATTCGTAAATACATATGTAAATGTAATGTTATATTATTGGGTGCATCAGAACCAAGGGACACCGCGACCTAGATGAGGGTTCCTTACCCGGTCGCCTAAGATGTTATTAGCCTCCTTTATAAGAGCTAAAAGTTTCTTGGTGGAAGAATTCCTGACGTTGAGGCTATCGACTGAGGAAGCACTGAAATATTGCTGCCCTAGTCTGGCTAATGCCGGGGACAATCACACATAATGTGCTCCGAAGACTCCTCGTCTTCAAGGCAAAAATTGAAATCCGTCTCGATGTAGAGACCAATCCTCAAGAGATTTATATATTTTCTAGCAAAAGGATAACCTAAAAGTCTGGCCTACCACTCCCCATGAGAGTAGCTAAGGGCCAAATAAGTCCACAAAACGGTTCCGGATCCACAATTACAGACGATGAGCCTGCCGTTGCCTTGCCCTTCGTTGGCGGCCTCGTTATATACAATTGCGCAGTGTCCTGGTAGCCAGCATAATAATACCGGCGAGAAAGTCATTCCGGTAGCACTTATCACTGTGGAAATACTCAGAAAATCACGCACCTCTATTCACTCGGCTACGGCGCACAGTGATGCCAAACTGCAATTTACTGTTCAAAATGGTACACAGCCTTCACGTTTAAATCGATTTGATTAACAAAAACTAGTTGAAAGCAATTATAAAGTTCCCCTGAAACGAAAAAAACTTGCAAAAAAGCAAAAGTTTAAATTCATAAAAAAAATTTAATTTTTTTTTTCAGAATTTTTAGAAAAATTTATTTTATTTTAGTGGGATAGAATGGAAGTTCCAAGTGGTTAGCGATTCGCGTTGATTTAATTTTTTTTTTGTTTGCTGACAATTCAAACACTTTTGTGGAACCCTATAAATGTTTTCAATTCGTTTTACTGTGTAACATTTATTTACAGGAACAGAAAAATCGATTTCCATTATAATGGCTCTTTCTATAAACTTTGTACTAAAAAATTTAATATAAACAATTAAAAATTCAAAATTTGGCCACGACAAATCTCTTTGGTTGAAAGAAGTTAATCAAATCGGTTGAACAATAAATCGCAGTTTGGCACCACTGTGAGGCAGCTGCTTAGGAATTAAGCTAACTTTAACCGCTTTCGATACTTCTTTTTTATCAGAAAGCTGGTAGTTTAGTCATGGGCTCATGAAGAAACTAATGCTAATCCTAAATTTTAATTTCTTGTATGTCCTTGTGTTCAAACAAAATCAACATAGCTCTCTACTTGTATCTCGCTGATGACTCAGCGACTCGCCTCGATTCGAATAAAATTTTTAAACATTTTATATTTCCCATTTGCTGTCTGATGTCTCAACTTTAAGCAGAATAAATGCACACATCAATACGTACACAGCTGCAATTGCAAAGTCAAAGATCCCAGCAAGCAGAGAAACGTAAGCTTTGCCGACAGTGGACGCATACATTTTTCGTATCCGGAAACTTGCAGAAAACTGCTAAATTTTCGTTCATATTCGTATTCTAAAAACATTTATGAGAAAAATTACAGAAAAACGGTCGAAAACGTATCCGTTTCACAATCATTTTCGCTACTTTTCTGTGCATAAATTTTTGCCGCACACTTTAGTGGAGAAACGGATCGTCAAAATCCGCATTTAATCTACTTTTCTTTCCTTTTTCGGATGGATTTTTGCTGGCTGGGGTATGCAAATACAAGCATACATACATATTTACTATGCATTTTATATTAACGTG